TATTTTGCTAATAATTTGTTCAAACGATGCAATGTGTGTTATTTTAAGTGACAATTTATTTTATTTTATGTGAATGTAAATTTCAAATTTTTTAATTTGTATTCAATTCACGTTTTTAGTTAATCAATTTACTCGTATGTAAACATCGTTTTTAGTTATATTTGATTCGCAATTTTTTACATAATCAATGGTAGAATATTCTTTTACAAAAGAGAAATAGTTGAAATAGCTTTCCCGAAGGAGGATTGCAAATTTCAAGATTTCTTATCGAGTTAAAGGATTTTCTTTAAATAGTTAACTCGAAGTAAATTAATTAAATTTCAATAAGTGGATCGTAATTTAACTTTATATTCGATTTGTAATTTCCATCATCACGACGATATGTAAGCGATACAGTACCAATTTTGGGCGCTGTGGGGGTGTTAATCCTTCCCCACGCGTAACCGACTCCCGAACCCATCAAATCGATTTTCTGGTAAACGTAGACCCCTTTTGTCTTTAAAAATGATTTTTCTTAAAATTATTTTGAAAAACGTTTTTAGGTATTCGACCTGCCTAATCTAAAGGTCGATGGCGACTCCTTTTCCAATTTAATTCAAATTAATTTCAAATCACCAATTTTCTAAATTAAAGTCATAATTGTTTTTAAAAAATATATTTAATTGTTTTACAAAAAAAATGGTTATGACAGTTGGATTTATTTTAATTTATTTTGATAAATTTGTTGGACTTTTTGTTAATTTTGTTTATTACCATTTAATATTAGTTATTGTAATTTGATTATCATTTACCATTTAATACTTATTGTATCATTAATATCAGTTATTTGTTAATATAACGCCAACGTCCAATCTCGTATAATTGTATCATTTTTTTAATCTTCATCAACGGTTATCAAATAACATTAACTTTAAGTAAATGCAAATTAAAGTACAATAATTATTAATTGATAAATAACTACATCATTTCCTCATCAATTGTTACTTGATGACAACAGAAGTGGACATGTTTTTCTAGTGTGTCATGGGTTTCTACAATGCCCACATCTTCTGTCTTGTCTAGATCTTTCTCGAATATCCATATCGCAATGAATTCGATTGGATTTTGGACAATCACGCTCCCTCAATAAACTCGGATTTGGTACAATCGGAAGCCAATCTTGAACCTCATCAGGGTCTTTGTCATTACCTATGGGGGAACTCAAATTCGTATACCTTAAAAACTTCAGATAATATGTATACGTGATCTACAAAATGGTTATAGTCTTGACGTGTATGCGAGCAAGCTGCTATCACATGAGAGCATGGATATTTCAGAGCTTGAAAAAACCCACAGTCGCACGTTCTATCCCTTAGATTTACTCTTAACGACACAACTTCAATCCCTTGAAGAGGTCGCGACAACTCTGTGACACGAAACATTTCATGCCTTCCAGAGAAACTTGTTACAGACATCCCATTTGATGCAGTAATTTTTTATGTAGATCTGTAACTAATCTAGGGTGATACACATGACCGCCTTGCATCCAGGTTTGAGCTTGTCCCCCGAGCTTCGCAAAAAGTACCTCCAAACGAAAATATGTAGTCTTTACCAAAGCCGCTACAGGTAAATGACGTGCACCCTTTAAGGTTGAATTGATTGCCTCTGCCAAGTTGGTCGTCATGTGTCCATATCGATATCCACCATTATATGCGTTCGTCCACATTTCTTTATCGATGAGGTTGATGTAATCGTATCCTTCCTCGTTCTTCGCCCGTAAATCTTGAAGCATTGATTCAAAGATTCGAGGAAGTAGTTTGTAACCTGATCAAAAAATGTATAACTTACTAACATGATCAAAAGGATCGAAAGAAAACAAACTACATCAGTTTCACTTACCCATGCGCACAAGTAATTGACGCTCATCATTCTTCTTGTATCTTCCATGGTAGTTTGCAGCAATGTGTCTGAGACAATACCTATGTTGGACAAAGGGTGGTTGCCACATTGGACCCAAAGAATCCATTGTTGCTTTGATCTCAGCTCCACGATCTGAAATGATACATATTTTTTCCCTCGTGATAATATATGCACGTAAATTTCTGAGGAAAAAAGCCCAAGAATCTGTATCTTCTCATTCGCAAGAGCAAAAGCAACTGGAAGAATGTTGCGATTGCCATCTTGGACAACTACCAATAATAAAACTTGTTTGTATTTTCCATACAAGAAAGTCCCGCCGATCTGGACCACAGGCTTGCAATATTTGACAACATTAACGCACTGTGGGTAAGTCTAAAAAACCCGGTAGAATTGGCATCGTTCGCGGAGAACTCGATCATTATGGTATGCATAGGAGGTTTCGAAGTCCACAATTGTCCCAGGATTCAACCTCTACACCAGCCTAAACCAACCTGGAAGTTCGTTGTAAGATGCATCACATTCGCCATGAAGTTTGACAATGGCATTTTGTTTTGCCAACCAAGTTTTTTTTATAGGAGACAGTGTACCCATACTGCGATTGTATAGTTGAAATCAACACAGCAACAACTATATGAGAGCTTACTTTTACCATGGACATGATGGCTTGGCATATCACTTCAGAGTCCAAGTTGGGATGATCTTGGTTGACCCCTCCAGCACAACATGTGTGAGGACCGTTGTATACTGTTAGTTCCCATATGTTGTTTTTCCTCTTCCTCTTCGATACGCAAACCATCCAATTGCATCCGTTTTCACGTCGGGCACAGTAGCATACATATTTTTATGTCGTGGAGCGGTCGACTCTCGATTGAACAAAATTACAGATATTGTAATTTTTTATAGCCATCATCGCTTCTTCTTTGCTTGAAAACTCTATGCCTAAATATAACTCACCATTATTTATTGATGAGTAATATTCATAGTCACCGAGATGAGGCATATCCGCAAATTCTGGCTCATATATTGCACCATAATCAACTTCATACATATGTGTTGGAGGGTCAATTTGTGCCACATTTCCTGGAACTTCATCCACATCATCATCATCATCAGAGTTGAATTGCGGTGATTCTGGGTGAATGAATAGTCCAGTCTCAGCATCATCCGCACCAGGCTCACAAAGCGGTTCTTCTGGTGGAGATGATGGTTCCTCCATGCTCTCCACATTTAGGTTAAAGAACTTACTACTTGCATGCCTTCCCCTTGAACTGGAAGGCATATCGACATTCAGATCGAAAAAGCTCTCAGTCGAATGTCTCCCCCTAGAGCTTGAAGCCATCGTGTCAAATGGAAACTGCATAGATTGTTGCGTCGATGATATCTCCATATTAAGGTCAAAGAGATTTGCAGATGAATGCCTTCCCCTTGAACTGGACGCGATGTTGTCATACGGATTGTTCGTCGACCTACCTCGGTATATATCGTAAAGAGTTGTGGATGAATGTCTCCCCATTATGACATTAAAATCATTACACATTACTGTCGTCGGGCTGTCAACTTGATCAACTTGTTCAGCCAGCTCATAGTGGGAGCTTAATGATTGATCCCGAACAGCACGCACTTGAATAAAATTTGCATACATCTCAATATCGGCGTCTGAATAATTACTTTGAGCTTCAACCATCATTTCAACATCATCATTGTTCAAAAGTTCAAACGTTGTATAAGTTAATGGCAACAATGATGTTGAAAATTTGTACTGCAACGACGACATTCTTCTACTACTTCCAACATGATTCTTCCTCGAAATCTTCGTTATCAGCTCCTCAAGAGTTATGTTTATCTTCAATGATATTTTAACACGCTCATTTGATACGAAAACAACACCATTTCGTCTTTTCAAATTTCTCCATCATAATAAACAATAGCTGAAAGTAATACCATTCTTTGAGTTTAAAAGTGCGGCAATATTATATCTGCAAAAAAACAACTAAAACAATGTTGATTAAATAAATAATATATGAACAAAATATAACACAATAAAATTTTTACACATAAACGTAAATAATTTAAATAATATAATTTTATATTATTACATGTACCGTAAAACTATTTCGACATATATTCCCGCTTTCTAATTTTACAAACACAGAAATTAATTGACAACAATTAGTATAATATTTTTTCAAATAATCATAATAAACAATAAGTATAATAAAAAAATTATCACAAAATTACCTTATAACGAAAATTCGCACGAACTTCTGAATTAAATATGAGAAGATTGTTGGATTGTTGTATTAATTTTTTTTCTAATCGAGAGGAGATGTGAGGAGTTACCCCGGGGAAAAAGTATTTATAGCCGAGAAAATCTACAAGACACGGTACCTGCACCGTGTCTTACATAATTATATCAGATAAAGCTAAAGCGCGACCCCTGTTCCACGCCTAATAATTGTGTTAAAGGTAAGGTGCGACCTCTGCCCTGCGCTATACTCCTAGGTGGCCTAAGGTGCGCCCCCGGGGCCGTGCTTTACACACGTATATACCATGTCAGCATAAGACACGCTGCAGGGGGTGCGCCTTACCCCACGTGGCACCAAATCAGCGTAAAGCTCGTTGCAAGGGCCGTGCCTTTCTGTAAAGGGTGTTAGATCGGGAAATATAGTCTGAACGGTGCCTGATCGGGAAATATACTGTTCAACGGTGATATATTGGGAAAATTGCCCAAAAATGACCGAAAATATTATTATTTTTGCAGGTTCTAATTACCGATATAGGTAAACGCGGTAGAAAAAACCCATTTTACCGAAAACATTATTTTTTTACCGGGTTCGTTTACCTATATCGGTAATTAATAATAAAAACAGAACCAGTCGAAACAATAATATTTCGGTCATTTTTTTATCGGTTTTTTTATTTAAAATAATTACAAAACTAATAATATATTTTTTTAGTCGTATATTAGGACTACCGCACGTTAACATTTCCCAATAAAATTAAGAAAATGAAGTCATGGTCAATGTTCTACCTTCCATATTTCTCTTAGAATCAAACTGGCTAAATTTCTAAGATATCCATGACTTCTAAGCCATTTATTGGCTGTTTCTTTCTTTCCTTCTTCTTAAAGTATCAAATTTTTTAATTTTTGGGTGTTTGATTTTGATTCCATGTTTGCAATAAAATATAGATAGTTTCATGGCAATTTGGTATATTTTTTTCCTGCTTCAACTCGTGCTGACAAACATAGAAAACCGGACAGTTTTTCTGTGTTGGTCTGAGAGGGAACCCTTTATGAAGCTTTGAATGAAGAAATGGATCACGTGTTTTGACCAGCTCTTTCGCCTTTAGAACTGCTTCATGTTCAAGTTGAATTAAATCTTTTATGCCAGTGGTCACATGATTCCTGGTTCAAGTAGCCATACAACGGGGCTTTTCTGCTATTGTGGCTTTGTGTTCTTCCCACTTGATTCATGGTTTCATATCCATAATTTGTTTGTTAATTGGCCTGCAACTGGGTAAACTTCTTTTCCTTTTCTCTCTCGTCCTTCTGCAGATCAAATTTGGTAATAACTAAAACGACGGGAAAGACATCGGAAGAAAAGCCATGGGGTATGGTAATTCAAGATCTGTAAGGTTTGTTCCATCTTTGTTCTTTGATGATTTCAGTTAGATCTCGTTTTTACTTAAGTGTTAACAATTCGAAACCAACTATATGGAACAATCAACTGATATTACTGACTTAGTGGATGTTTTCAGATTTCAAGATGATCTTGAATTGAAAAGGCTCCACAACAGCATTAATGGGGATGGTATGAATATGATAAAGCTGAAATACAACATAAACGGAACCAAAATACCAAAGCCTAGCACCAAGAAGGCTGACAAGGAGTTTCCTACTAGTAGGACAGGCAAATCCTTAAAAACTGAAGTGCTGTCCAGGGTTTTCTCCGAGGATTTCGAGAGAGTGAAGAAGAAGATTTTGGATCCCCGGGGACCGGTTATTCACCGGTGGAACAAGATTTTTCTAGTATCATGCATAGTCTCTTTGTTTGTGGATCCTCTGTTCTTTTATTTGCCAGTAGTTTGGGAAGAAGTCTGCATTGATATTGGAATCCCACATGAAGTTATCCTCACCATAGTTAGATCATTGGCTGATTCTTTCTATATAATTCAGATTTTTATTCGATTTCGGACAGCTTATGTCGCGCCTCCTTCTCGTGTATTTGGGAGAGGAGAGCTTGTTATAGATTCCAGGAAGATTGCTTCCAGGTACCTTCAGAAGAGTTTCTGGATTGATTTAATAGCTTCCCTACCCCTTCCTCAGGTATGTGTAAAACTAAGGTATCCGTATCTTTTTCTTTTTGCAAAATACCAAGGCATCAATTTGCAATACTTTGCGTCCAGGTTTTGCTTTGGATAATCATTCCAAACCTCAAAGGTTCAACGATGACAAACACGAAAAACGTACTCCGGTTCATAATCATTTTTCAATACATTCCAAGACTTTTTCTGATATTTCCACTCTCATCACAAATTGTCAAGGCCACAGGTGTCGTTACAGAAACAGCATGGGCTGGCGCTGCTTATAACCTGATTCTCTACATGCTGGCTAGCCATGTAAGTGATTCTGAAACCTGTAAACTATGATTCTACAAATAAAATGCCTACTTGAGTAAAAAAATATTACCTTATTTCAATCTTTCTTAAAAAGGTTTTAGGAGCTAGCTGGTACCTTCTCGCTATAGAGCGACAAGAAGCATGCTGGAGGAGTGCCTGTGATCTTGAGAAGTCAACTTGTCAGTATAAATTCTTGATTGCCACAGGATTAATGACTCTGGCAGGGATAGCTGGTTCAGGTCTAGCAATATTTCTGGCCTATGCAGTCCGAGTTCCGGCTTCTATCGGTTTGGTATATATGGCGATGCATTGACATTTGATGTTACAACTGCACCATTCTTCAACAAGTACTTTTATTGCCTTTGGTGGGGTTTAAGGAACTTGAGGTCAGTAGTTTTCTCAATATTTTTTGTTTTGTTTTAAAGAATTGTTTAAGAAATCAATAAAAGAACCTGATTTTTCAAGTGTACTTCCAGCTGCAGTATAGCTCTGGGATTTTAGAACGAACCTAACTGCTAATGAAACATAAGAAAGATATATATATTGCTTAAACTCTAATGGTCTGTCTCTTATTGCATGCAGTTCTTTGGGACAAAATCTTGACACAAGCACTTATGTGGGTGAAATAATTTTTGCCACTATTATTGCAACTCTTGGTTTGGTTCTCTTTGCACTGCTCATTGGTAATATGCAAGTAAGTCCTCCAAGTGATTTCCACAACATTTTCATGAAGATGTAAGAGTCTCTTCCGTAGATGGCAATTTCTAACTGTCATAATGTTCCACTGGCAGACATACCTTCAATCGACAACTGTTCGGTTGGAAGAATGGAGAATCAAGAGAACGGATACCGAGCAATGGATGCGTCACAGGCAACTTCCTCCTGAGTTAAGGCAATCTGTGAGAAAATATGATCAGTACAAATGGCTAGCTACAAGAGGAGTTGATGAAGAAGCTTTACTCAAAGGTCTTCCCTTGGATCTACGTAGAGACATCAAACGGCACCTCTGTCTCGATCTCGTTCGACGGGTAAGTTATGAGACCCCAACAACATTAGACATGATGCAACAACTATAGCTTGATATGTAACTATATTTATTGAATCAACAGGTACCGCTGTTTGATCAAATGGATGAAAGAATGTTGGATGCAATATGTGAGAGACTTAAACCTGCATTGTGCACCGAAGGCACGATCCTAGTTCGTGAAGGTGATCCAGTCAACGAGATGCTCTTCATAATCCGGGGCCACCTAGATTCTTACACAACGAATGGTGGCCGTACCGGATTTTTCAATTCATGCAAGATTGGCCCGGGAGACTTCTGCGGTGAGGAGCTGCTGACATGGGCGTTGGATCCTCGTCCTAGTGTCATTCTCCCATGTTCAACCCGCACGGTTAAAGCAATATCAGAAGTAGAGGCGTTTGCTCTCAGAGCCGAAGACCTCAAATTTGTGGCATCACAGTTCCGAAGATTACATAGTAAACAACTAAGACACAAATTCCGTTTTACTCGCACCAGTGGAGAACATGGGCTGCCTGCTTCATACAAGCAGCATGGCGTCGGTTTAAAAGACGAAAGGAAATGGCTGAACTACGAGCTAAGGGGAGCCAGATGATGGCTACTGAAGCTGAAGCACCGACACCTGGTTCAGGGTTGGCTATGTGTGCTGCCAGGCTAGCAGCAAGCACTAGGAGGGGTGTTAATAATAAGCATTCAGGGTTCGATTCTGGGGTTGTCAGCTCCCTGCAGAAACCAGCAGAGCCAGATTTTTCTGTAGACGAGGAATGAATTTGCTTTCACTCCCAAATAGGGATCTAGTGTGTAGGTAATCTCCTAGCAGTGCCTGTAAATTTTCTTTGTTTCTTCACTAGCCTGTAAACAGAAGTGAAGTGAATTACAAGGTGGAAATTCTTTTTATTTTAAAACTTCATTTTCCAGTCATATTAAAGCTGAGAGACAGGAGAATTTAGTGATGTACTCTGGAAAACCGAACTTACAAGTTATTAGGTTTTGCAAACTTCTTTAAATATTCTGTAATTTAAAGTGATCAACATCCTCCCATGTTTTCATCTTTATCTCACAAACCTAGTCCCTGGTTGAACTCTGAAGGGTTCCTAGTTCCATGCAAATGACCTTTAAGAGCATTTCATGTAAACAGTAAAGACTAACTGTTACCCACGAGCTTGATGTTCTAATTTTATGAATGAAGAAAAAAGTGATGGGAGAGTTTTTATCTGGTTTAAGGGTTCATTGATTGAATTGAAACTATCAAATATTAAACGGTCTTTGAGTGAGAAAACGTTGGGAATATTCCTATGGATGAGTTCCCGTGATATTATATGACCACCGACTTGTAGGACAAAAGAAGCATATGCCCACTTCCATTGGGTTTCTAAAACTGTTTCATGTGCAGCTCAAAGGGGAGCCACAGCCTTTGGATTTGGACACCAGAAGTTCATGACCCATTCCAATGATTTGATTCTGAGATTGAAATGAAAAAGCAAGCCCGCTGTAATTTAGAAGGAAAATGGGAGGCCCAAACACAAACCCATAAAATATATTTAACGAAAATGTTGTAATTGTTAATAAATTACAATGGATATCACTAAATTTTTTTATTTGAAATATCATTGATTATAAATTGATATGATTGCGACACTAAATTTTAATTTTATATGCAATTATATCACAAACCATTAAGTGTTAAACAAAGTGTTAACGTGGACGACAATTTATATCAATATAACGATACGGTTAAAATAATATCGTGTGAGTGTGAATATATTGATGTTAAAAATATTCTTTTAGACTATATAAACCATTTAATATGTGTATCAGTTTTTTCATTAAACTTTTAAACGTTTTAATTTTAGACACTAAAATTTTCAGTCGTCATTGAAGATCACCGGTCATCATTCGTGGGAAGATCAAAGATTGAAACCAAAATGTTCGCATTTGACTTTTCTTTCTTCTCCTTGGATTGATTTTACACAAAACATAATCAAATTCGACAAAAAAATCATATAATAGTTCAACGATCGAATACTTCAATATTCTTTGATGATCATTTAAACTAGTTTTGAAGTATGTTGTTTATTATCTTAAAGTAATGGTTATCACCGTTTCAAAAAAAAATAAAAGAAAAATCACTCCAAATCCACCAAATTTGAGAAAGCCGACAAATCCCCAAAATAGATTAAAAAATATTTTAGTTTCGATGAAGATGATGATGTAATATATATATTTACGTTAGCACCATATCAATAACAAATTGACATGTCATCTGGTTGATGATGAGTTAATGATCTAATAATATAATTGTACGTAAAACTAAAACTTGTGCTACAATTAAAGTTAAATGATATTTTCCATAAAATAATAAAAATTTAACTGCATCTTGTGTATGTTAGCCTTGTTAATATAGGGTAATAAAAGCAGAGTTTGAAAACTGATAAACATATTTTTGAAGTTGCCAATTACATGCATCGCAATTCCACGCATCTTACGCTATTGATGACATGAATTCTCAAAAGTAAAAACGAAAGGCAACAGCGAAAGAACAAAAACAAATGCCAAGGTGTGATTTCAATCATTATGATGGTACCCATCTTCTTTGACCGACTTTCTTACCACCAATGCCACCAACTCCTTTCCCTACCAAATGAGACATTGCCAGAAACATTTCTTTCATGTTTTCTTAGGCCAGTCCCCCTTTTTTAAGATCGATCTTTTTGAAAAGACGGCAAACTCTTTGGCCTCTATGCATGACATCAAAGTATCAACACTAAGAAATATGGTTGTAACTATTTCTTGATACTACGATTTATTATCATTATTTTTGGTCTTTGTGCTTCCATTTCACATGGTTAAAAGATTTCACGTCATCATTGCTGCTGGACAATGTAGATACCATACACATAAAGCACACATTTTCATAATATGAAGGGTGGGAAAAAAGGATCTTTTAGATTGAAGAAAGACTAAATTTTTAATGATAAAACACTAAAGTTGACCCATCTGATGGAGTTAAAAATCTTACAAGTTTACCTGTAAAAGGAGGGACAGCTACAATAAGTAGTAGCAATCGGCAAGCACAAATAAAACAGAGTTGCCCCCCGAATGGTTGGTGGTCAGTCCTTCATTCTTAGGGATGATCCGGATCCAACAAGTACTAATCCGATAAAATATTATAATGATTTAATATTATAATTATTTTTTATATATTTATGAGCAATTGTAATAATATTTCTTTAATATTATTTTTTTAATTAAATCCTTATCTTATGTAATAAAAATAAATCTATATTTATTTAGGTTGGGTCGAATATGGTATAGGTTTTAACTTAAAAAATAAGTTGAATATCAGATCAAAGGAGATCCTCTTAAACTCTATTCGGGTCAGATACAATTAAAAAAGTGTAATTTTAAATCGTGTTTGAAAGGACAAAAATCCGAGCCGATCCATGATCATTCCTCTGTGAAAGCCATAAGGGTGTAAAATTATGGGCCCGTTGCCCTTTACCATGCCCAAAGCCATACCCTTTTACTATGGGCTTATTCATTAGAGATGGACCCACTTTGACTATCGGCCTTGGCTAGCCTGGCTCCAGGTTCTTCTTCACACCAGAAGTGATTTAGAAATGAAAGCATTCCCAATGCAATTTTCACTTTGAGAGAGATGGTAATTATGTAATGTAACAATATTTAATCTTGTTTGTAAAGTTTAATCAAATCATAATTCTTTTATAAAGAATACTAAAGATTTTAGCTTTTGAAGTTCCTCAAGAAAGACAACTTGGGTCTGAGTTATTAAAGCCGAATTCATTGGAATAAATCTCTCGAGGCACCCTTAATTATGTCTTTGACCATTGACAAAGTGGTCGTTCTAAAAATTGGATTAAAAAGAGAGCTGATGACTTAATCCGTTTCCAAATCCTCCTCTAATTGAATAAGAAATTAGAAGGAAAAAAAATTCCCAAATAATCTAAACGCAAAATGTATTTGAATTTCCAACCACGGAATGCTTGATTTCAACTTGTAGTAATCATTACACCAATGAGTTCATTAGAAATTTTGGTCAAAAGAAGAAAAAACCCAACTTTTTTACTGTTATTTCCCTTGAAAGTGTGAAACTTCTTTTTCAAATCAACTTTATAATAACCTCAACCCTGCATCTTCCCTCGGTTTTAACAAAAAATATTAATTCCGATTAACTTTAATTATATCAAAGATTAAAGCTTTGTTACTAGAACTAAAAAATGCAACAGTTTTGAAGGGATTTTACCTTTTGGGGTTTTCCTAGGGACTCAGTGATATGCAACAAAAGAAGAAATTATTACAAGAACAAATGAACAAAAATGGAGCAAGCCAAAGATACTCAAGAAGTTTTGCAGACTTACTCTTTGTTATTAAAGATTATGTTGCTATTCAAGTTAGGGGTAAGGAAATTAATAGGAAAGACTATGTCAATAGCACACTTTGTATGCAATGGGGTATTGATTACTGATGTTTTGTTTTGTTGTTTTGCTTGTAAGTAGTGGTATTCTTGTAATAACAGGCTGTATTTTTTTAAGTAGTTTCCTGCTCTTTTGGATATAAAATTCTGATTTATCCAAAAAAAAATTGGAGCAAGCTAGCGAGGTATCCACCGAACAAAGAATGATAATGTTGGATTTCATGTCCCAATGACAGACAAACAAACAAACTCAAGTGGTAATCCCATAAGCATTTCTTTGGCAGTTGAAAAAATAATAACATAACTGGGGCGTCATCGTCATGGGATTCTGACTCAACTCGAATCCAGCCATTTTAACTTTCACATATGTTTTTTGGAATCCACCCAGGAAACAAAATGGTTGCAGGCAGTTCCCCATAGGACTACTTAGCCATTGGCCAATTCGACCACCATTCTAATTTCATTTTTTCTATAGAGCAATACTTTCAAACACACACTCGAGTTGTCTTAGCTAGCATGTCATGCAGTGCATCAAACACTGCAATTGTTTTTGCAGGCGAACTTTGGCATTGTCTATAATCCCCCCAAGTTATTTTTTTTAAGAATTTAGATATTATAATAATTTATTATATGATAACTTTCTTAATAAAATTTATTGTATATGTAATGTTAAGATTTGAATCTTTAACATCGAAATTAATAACACTGTGAGGGTAGTAACTTGAAGTAGTGCATGCCTAACGCACATTAACAATGTTTCGTATAATGATTATAAATGTATGTATTGGGATCAAACATTGTATCGTATTCATAAACCCATATATAAATAATAAACGAACTCGATCCCCTTGACGAAGCTAATGAAAAAGAGAAGCTTGTTTTGCTGCGAAGTATTATTATTATTTTTATGTAATTTGAATTTTGACTGATACGACCGAAAAGCAATCCATGCATGCATATAGATAGGTTTTACTTTAGTTTTGAAGTCAAAAGAGCTAAGCCTTTTATTTAATTAATCCACCGAAATCCACCCTATCCCTTTCGATATGTTCTAGAGGCGTTGCCTACTTATATACATTTGAATGAGTGGGAAGTTTTGACCTTCACTTCCATGCATGCTTCAATCAAGTATCTCGATAACTTGTAACTGAAGTATGCGGCAGAGGAACTGGGACTCAAAGTCAAAAGTCCCTGCACTCTGTAATTGTAACATTAGAATTGAATGTTTTGAACTCTCTGTAATTAGTCGTGGTCCAAGCCACTTTAGTTCCACGATTTACGAATATGATACATTCATAGTTATAGGATTCATAGCCAATATAATAATATATTATATTTTAACATTAATAGCTGTATATTCATGGGATTCACAGCTCCATATATCACATTAGCCGAGACATGTTGAGCAGCATGTGAGCAAGGCAAGTCATTATTATTTAATATTAATATTTCTGATTATACGTACAGTTAGGTCTAACGAAAAAT